TATATATATACATATATATATATATATATATATATATATATACATATATATATATGTATATATATTTTTTTTTTTGTTTCAGGATGAGTGTAAGCGAGGTATTCTCAATATATACAAAAGGATCAGGGGAGATGGACGGGCGTACATTTATAAAAATATTAAAAGATAGTAAAATAATAGATACAAAAATAACAGCAGTTGATGCTGATTTAATATTTACAAAAATAAAAACAAAAAAAACAAAAAAAATTAATTTCGATGAATTTGTTGAAGCGCTTAAACTTGTTGCTAATAAAAAAGGGGTTGATCTTCAGACTATAGAAAATAAACTTATACAAGGTAAGAATATATTTATTTATTTATATATTTATTTTTATGTTTATTTTTATATTTATATCTATATTTATATTTATATTTGTGTTTGTATTTATGTTTTTATGTTTATATTTATATTTATATGCACTTAAACTTGTTGCTAATAAAAAAGGGGTTGATCTTCAGACTATAGAAAATAAACTTATACAAGGTTAGAATATATTTATATTTATATTTTTATTTATATTTATTTATATTTATATTTATATTTATGTTTATACTTATGTTTATGTTTATGTTTATGTTTGTATTTGTGTTTGTATTTGTATTATATTTGTATTTATATTTGTATTTATATTTGTATTTATATTTGTATTTATATTTATATTTATTTTTATTTTTGTATTTATATCTATATTTATATTTTATATTTATATTTATATTTATATCTATATTTATATTTATATCTATATTTATATTTTATATTTATATTTATATTTATATTTATATCTATATTTATATTCATATTTATATTTATATTTATATTTATATTTATATTTATATTTATATTTGTATTTATATTTATATTTATATTTATATTTATGTTTATATTTATATTTATATTTATATTTATATTTATATTTATTTATATTTGTATTTATACTTATGTTTATATTTGTTTATTTATTTATTTATTTATATGTATATGTATTATGTTTGTTTATGTATATGAATGTATTTAGATTGTGTATGTAGATCTCCACATAAACATATTTAATATTATATTTATAATATTAAATATATTCTATTGTACTATATTTTATTGTTTTAATTTTTATTTATTTATTATATTTATATAAATATAATATAAAGAGATGAAACAGAAGCATGCATTTATTTTATATTATATATATCCTATCAAACGATTAAAGTTTTATTTAATTTATTTATTTTTATTTTATTTGTTTTATTTATTTTTATTTTATTTGTTTTATTTATTTATATACATGCATGCAATTACAAGTGTTTATAAAAATTTACATTTTCCCCAAAAATATTTTTTTTTTTTTTTTTTTTTTTTTTTTTTTTTTTTTTTTTTTTTTTTTTTTTTTTTTTTTTTTTTTTTTTTAATTGTACAAATTATTATTTTGTTTTTTTTTATATTCAGAAGGAATCCAGGGCCCAATCCTGACGGGTACAAAGGCCGACAATGTTCGTTTCCACGATGATAAGAGTACATACACCGGAGTACATAAGATGGGGGGCCCCACAACTGTCGATGATGGGAGAGTTCAGTTTAATGATTTATCGAAAATTTGTGATCGAACAGAATACGATATTAGAGGCGTAAAAAAAGGTATTATTGAAAATAAAACGGGAGACAGCAAGTAAAATATATATTTATACATATAGAATAGGGAGACATGCATGCATGCATCCATGCATGCATGCATGGAATAAATGCATGCATGCATGCATGCATGCATGCATGCGTGGGTGAAAGAATGAATGCATAAGTGTAAGGCATGCATTTATGATGACAAACAGGAAATACATGCATGCATGCATGCATGCATGCATGTATGTATGCATGCATGCATGCATGTATGGAGATGGAGGCCATCAGGCAGCTGCAGCAGGGGTTTCCTTTTGTTTGGGAGATCGTTATGAGCAGCAGTGCTGCTGAGCTGCTGCTGCTGTTTTTGCTGCTGCTGCAGTGCTGCTGCAGCTGCAGCAGCAGCAGCAACCCAGGCATTGTCTACTTTTGTTCTTTTGGCAGTAACTGCAGCGTGTTGTTTCTCGGGTGTACAGACACCGCAGCAGGCGGGCTGTGCAACCGAAAAAAAATAAAAAATAAAAAATAAAAAATAAAAACAAAGTGAAGGGAATTTGAAGATGTGTATTGTAAAGAAAGCGTTGATACATCGTCATTTCTTGTTGCTGCTGCTGAACCCTAAACCCTAAACCCTAAACCCTAAACCCTAAACCCTGTGATTCGTGTTGTTGTTTGTTTAATTATTTCAGGTTTTTAGCTCGCTTAGACTGTTCAGTCTTTTATCTAAGAAAAGGGTTTATACAGTGCAAATGTATATATAATATATATATATATATATATATATATATATATATATATATATATAT